CGCCCTATTGCTCCACAACCGCTTATTCGATTACTTTGAAACCTTGCGTGTATCTGCTGCTTGAGCTGCTTGACATGTTTTGTTCTTTGACTTTGGTCATTGGTCACGTGGTTTGGCAGCCATATTGGATTCAAGGTTTTCACAGTGTCTTTTGGGTACCAGTCCACTGCATGAAATGCTTTCAAACTTTCTGATAATTATCTCCATACATAACACATCAAACGTTGATAGCCGAATTTGGATATGTTTTTTAGTTCCGGCAATATTGGATTTTGTTTTTGATCAATTTTGTCACCGAAATTTTACTTTAAAGATCATATCTTGTAAGGTTCTCCACAGAAAGTATTGATAGTTTACATGAAGTTAGTGTGCCATATGTACCTCATTTTTTGTTCTTTAAACTTTGGTCCTTAGTCACGTGGTTTGGCAGCCATATTGGATTCAAGATTTTCACAGTGTGTTTGGGGGTACATGTCTTCAAACGCAAACTCCTCCGTGCCCACTGCATGAAATGCTTCAAAACTTTCTGAGAATTATCTCCATACATAACACATCCAACCTTAATAGCTGATTTTGGATATCTTTTTTAGTTACAGCCGTATTGAATTTTGATTTTGATCAATTTTTTCAACGAAATTTTACTTTAAAGATCATATCTTGTAAGGTTCTCCACAGAAACTATTGCAAGTTAACACGAAGTTAGTGTGCCATATGCATCTAATTTTTTGTTATTGGTTGTATGCTAAAAGTAACACCGCTTGGTGGTAATATTTGATTAATATTTGGGACACCCCTGGAACATGCCAATTTCGTAGCGGCGATTTCCGGTGACTATCTTTTGACAGAGTTGGTACAAACAAACCATTTATGGATTCGAACATGTTCGAGGTCGGAAATGGTTTTAGAACAGACCTGGACACCCTAGCACATGCCAATTTCCTAGCGGCTATACCCTGCAAGTGGTGCCTACATTTGACGGATTTGGTTCAAGGAAACCCTTTGAGGATTCGAACAAGCACGTTTTGGCAGTGTTACTTGGAGCCCACCATTGCTGCTTGCAGCTTTAATTATATCATATAATAGTCTTTAATTGGTCTTGCTTCAATGTTTTGAGAGTATACATAAGCCTTATTACATGTATATTATACGGCATAAATATCTTTGTAAGAGAAATGCTGTCACCTTTATTAACTTGGACCCCCTCAAGGGTTGCAACGGGTGATACTCCCATATAAATAATACTGCAACGTTGACGCTCGTGTTTCTAGAGCCATTTAATTGATAGACCTGGTAATATTTCGAAGGCATCTTCCGGTGCATCTCCAAACAAGACTTCAATAATAATTGTAGAAAGATCAGGTATAGCATTCAAGTTATCTTTTTTATATCATTGAATTCAGTAACCAAATTTAAACTAACATTTTCTTATGCTGGATGACTCAGTAACATATGACCTGGGTTTTCTGTCAGGGGAGAGACTAACACACTTTTTCATTTTGAGGGGATATAAGCCCCGAGTTCGACCCAACTATTTATTATCTTAGTTAAATTATGTCCCTTACCCATCATCACATTTGGTGGGGCAATGACGATATTCAGTAGCCACTTGATTTTTTCTTCGACCATAGTCCATTTATTATCATCATTGCGAGCTAGATTTTATGAAGTGTTTTTTTTTTTAGTCTACTGACGTCGACATCACTTAAATCTCCTAGATTACCTGTGAATGTAACTTCTTTCCCCTTGTATACATTATCTTGTAAGTGTAAAGCATATAACTTGCCATTGGTACCGGGTTTACCAAATCCTTCTGTCTCCAAGATCGGAAAGCACAATTGTATTACATTTCCAGGGCCTGATGAATCAACCATTATTTATAATATGGAGTGTTACACTCAAGTATCCTATATGTACAGGTTGATGTTTTACATCTAATACAGACATTTTGAGATCTGAAATAATACCCCGCTTTAATTTTTTGTATTGCAATGTTGAGAAAGATTCCGTTCTACCGCTATTGTATTTTTCTTCTTTGACTGTAATAGCTCTTTGCAGAGTTGAAGGACTTTCGAGTTGAATATTATCCGTTGTACTGATCTGATCAAGATGGGTTGGGTTGTATTATTATTATTCCTCTTCCTCCGCTTACAAATCCAAGTGTAACTAATAAGCACCATTCAAGAAGTACCTCCTCTTCTCCAGCGTTAAAAATCAGCATCCCATTCAACTCATTTTGTGTGAGACTAACTCCCAAAGGCTTAAAATTTTCATCATTGAGTGAGCATATTTCGACAGCAATGGCTGATTGTAAGATTTCCGAGGAGGAGTTTCGTTTAGTGTTGTCAGAACTCACCAAATACAACGCAATGAAACAGGAGATTTGATCAAATTCTCGTAAGACCAGTGGTATTTGTGAAGACGAGAAAAAAAAGTTCATAGAACAGGGGAGGCAACAAGCGCGTCAATTATTCCGTGCCAAAAGCAAAGAACTGGTTGGAGATTAAAAATAGATTGTTTCCTATAGTTGGATCACACCACAATAATTTAGACGAATGCTTACATAAGTATATATAATGATGTCAAACCAACCAAATACGATCATCAATTGTTTCTTTCCAATTTAGAAAAAGAGTATGTAGTCTGGTCTCTTTTTAAAATGAATGAAGAACTTAGTAAAAATGTTGAATATCACTTTGTTCAAAATAATGGTATGCGTATGAGTAAAAATAATAGAGAATATTTTCATTACAATTTAGTTTAATCTCATGACGATAGTTAAATCACATCATCATTTACACATAAAAAATTCCATCTGTAGTAGCAGAATAGGTATATAAATCTGGTTCCAATGGAAGTGGTCCAGAATCACCATTACCGATACTACTCTTTACTATGTATCCAGAAGCAAAGAACATATAGGGGTGCATAATCTCTGCTGGAACTTAAAAAAACTGTCAGAGCAATAAACCATACAGAACCATAAACCGCTGCATGAAACGGTATGAATTATGCATTACATACAGTGAACTATTTGAAACAATACTGTGCTCAACTATGCACACAGCAAGCTCCATACATGTGATTATGAAGACGACAAATTACAAATTTCTCATATCAAACCCGTTGTTTAACATGTGTTTATTGAACAAAGTCATACTTTATAGAAGCCTGGTAATTAATCGTGTTGAACAATATGTTGAAATAGCAATGTGAAGTTGAAAGATTGAGTGCGCATGACAGGCTTGACCTAAATTCCTCCCTGGAACCTCTCTCAATGGCTGCTTGAATAACATAAGATACATTGCAAAGGTAGTGCGCAATACAGCTATTGGGTAAGGGAGATAATCCCTTACTCTCAGTGATACAGCTTGAATAAGATACAATGTACGGCATTGAAAGGTCAGTGCGTGATAAAGCTCTATACTACTCCTATAGCTAAAGGAGATAATCGCTCAATGCGCAAAAGTTTATTCTTTTAACTTTAGCGAAATGAGATATATATTTCCCCTTAACATTTTTAGCTCTTTTAAAACCAAAATGAACAAATTTCATGGGTTATCTGCATTACGAAACATAACTAAATCTCAGAATAGCAAGGCCATTTTGAAGTATCTCTTATTGTTGGAAAAGAAGAGCATCAACATTTCATGCACATGATTTGTATGTTTCGTTTCGGTAACTGTGTGGCTTGAAATTTCAAAGAAACCAACATGTCAACATACATGCTATAAAATTAACCTCTCCCGTATACTTCCTTGCCTTAAGGGCGTGGAAGAATGAAGTAGAGGAATGATTCTCCTTCTTCGCCAACAATTGTAGATTCTTTGTGATGTGGGCAGCGACAGAAGATTTCCTGTTCAGTCCTTCATAGACCCATTTTGAGCTGCAGCACTCGCTTTGTGATACTCACTTTAGCATTGACGTGTTGACTCTTTGTCGGCATTGACTTCGATGAAGTAGAAGAAGGATTCTTCGCCAATGATTGTAGATTCTTTTTCGTGATGCAGGCAGCTGCAGAAGATTTTTTCTTCTGTTCTTTCTTGACACAATCGTTAAGACTCGTGCTGAATCACGCAATAATACAGACGGTCATGGACTCTCGGTCGGTTGCTATGGAACAGTAACCTGATAAAGTCTACATGATTGTCTTCTGCTGCCAAGGGATACCGCTGCAGGTATAATCTGTACAGAATGCGAATAAGTAAAAACTAGCTCTCTATCCCTTCCTCTGAAGAGGGTGAAGGTGTGGTGTCAATTTTCTTTTTCTTTAATGAAGTCAGCTCTCATATTACGGTCCATCTTCTTCCTCTGTACTGCAAATAATATTTTGCAAATTGATCTTCTCCCAGAGGAGATCAGAAACAACACTTCAGCTCTTAAGTACGGTGTTAAAGCATGCAAGGAAGGAAACACCACATACTACATACTTTTATAGTAAAAAACAAAGTCACATTTTAAGCCAAATTTTGAAGAAAACTTAAGGCCAAAATCAAAAACTATTCTTAAGATATGACATTAACAGGTTAGAAGAATGTAATCCGAGCAAAAATGTTTATGTAAAAGGTTTAAGTTTCATAGAACGGCTCTGATTACAATCTCAGAAAAGTTTTCCTAACCACTCTGTTGGTGCGAAAATAAGAGGGTGATGATTATGGTACCCGGGCTTGGTCATGTGCTTCTGGTGTGCATGCACAGTCCAGGGGTGTGTTCGGGTGAGATACTTTCTCTGTTTTCCGGGAACACAGTCCAGGAAGTTTCCACTACCTTTTGGAAATGAGTAGATGTAAGCAATAGGTATGAGTCTGGAGAAGATATAATAAATCTTTTGATTTGTCATCTTAAATGATGAAACAAATTTATTGCATTTAATACCTTTCCTTTTTGGCCATATGTAACCACAGGTAAAGATAGCTAGCCAAGAACCAGCTAAACATGTTCATAATATTCCAAATATAGTTGGACTTGTAATTTCTGATTATGACTTCATGTTTGACTTTCAGAACAAGGCCATAGAGGAGGTAGACAGACAGAAAGATTCCTCCTCAGAATATGAGACAGATGAGGAATGGGATACAGAAAGGAAAAAACACCTGGCAGAGGAAGAAAAGGAAAAGGTGACTGACTACTTTATTATCCCCCTCCGGGCCATAATGGCCGAAGGAGGAGGATGTTGTGGCGCACAGAGGGTACTAAGCTTGTGAAATCAACTCCTCCTACAGTTTCCAGAGAATATCCCTGAAACTCTACACACAAGATGTCGACATGTTGATGATACGCATATCGCAGTCCTGTTTCATTTCGACTAATTTTGACAGAGTTACTGCCCCTGTTTTACAGAGCTTCATTTGCCTAATTGTGAGAGAGGTACTAAGCTGGTGAAATCGACTCCTGCTCCAGCTTTTAGAGAATATCCCTGACACTCTACACACAAGATGTCGACATGTTGATGATACGCATATCGCAGTCCCGTTTCTTTCGACTAATTTTGACACAGTTACTGCCCCTGTTTTACGGAGCTTCATTTGCCTAATTCTGAGAGAGGGTACTAAGCTTGTGAAATCAACTCCTCCTACAGTTTCTAGAGAATATCCCTGACACTCTACACACAAGATGTCGACATGTTGATGATAAGCATATCGCAGTCCCGTTTCATTTCGACTAATTTTGACAGAGTTACTGCCCCTGTTTTACGGAGCTTCATTTGCCTAATTGTGAGAGAGGTACTAAGCTTGTGAAATCGACTCCTCCAGCTTTTAGAGAATATCCCTGACACTCTACACACAAGATGTCTACATGTTGATGATACACATATCGCAGTCCCGTTTTATTTTGACAAATTTTGACACAGTTACTGCCCCTGTTTTACAGAGCTTCATTTGCCTAATTCTGAGAGAGGGTACTAAGCTGGTGAAATCGACTCCTCCTCCAGTTTCCAGAGAATATCCCTGACACTCTACACACAAGATGTCGACATGTTGATGATAAGCATATCACAGTCCCATTTCATTTCGACAAATTTTGACAGAGTTACTGCCCCTGTTTTACGGAGCTTCATGAAATCTACTCCTCCTCCAGTTTCCAGAGTATATCACAATATCTAACTATAACTATAACTATAGTTAGTTTCCTTGTTTAAGGCTTTTGTGGGTGAGCTACCATCTTCCCGAGGCAAGAGAGTTAACTGACTTTAAAAGTCCAGTTTCCACCCTTGCCGAACTAGGCTTGTATTATGGAGTTACATTTTGGCTGGGCTAACGAGTCTGCATAGTCCAATCAAAATCGCGCACCGAAATCGAAATCCGGTTCATTAACTAGTTGTCGTTCAGATTTCGGTCGATTGCAGGATTTGCAAAGCATGTGCACCGCCAACACGTTGTCAGCAAATATTTTCCAAATTTTTTCATGTTTTTAATCAAGGTGCTCACGTGATTTGATGCATTTCGCAATGTAAGACACGTTTTATCACAATATAGATATTGATTATCGATCAGATCGTCCTGACCGGGCGCCACCATTTTGTGTGAAGCAGATGCAAGTGATACGAGAGGTGGAATCTGATTAGTCCATAGGAGAGGCTTAAAAGGGACATAGCTGGTAATAGCCACTGGTGGCGCTACGATCGAGCCCAGTAATTCCAGCCTAGTTCGGCAAGGGTGGAAACTGGACTTTTAAAGTCAGTTAACTCTCTTGCCACGGGAAGATGGTGAGCTACATCCTTATGGCATTAGCATTCAGACTGGATTACTCCCAACAAAATGTTCTGCACAATTTGTTTCAAATGCAGTGCCATCTACTGTTGTTATTTCAGAAAATATAAATTCATGCGGGGGATGTTGTGCTCTCAGAGCACTCTTGTATTCTATTGTTCCATTGCTTTTCTTCACATTTGGGATGGGAATTCTCATCAAAATATTCTACAACAATATTTCTATTTCATGAAATTTAAGTAAGTTTTGCAGAATATGTCATATATTAATTTCTTAAACTTATCCTATTTCGCACTTTGCCAACTCATTGTCTTTCTCACTGCCAAAGTGTGGTGATGTGTTTCGCCATCTAAGAGAAGTTTGTTTGTCCTCTTGCCAAGTTCTGTCAAGAATTATACTGCCTACAAACATGGGCAAAGAGGACAGACAACGACTGGCATGCAAAGAATGCTGACACACTGACATTGGACCCTTACTCCTTATGTTGTGACTGCCGCGGGCAGTATTCATTAAACTCTAGGTGTGGAGAGTGTCATGCCATGCCCGATTCTGCCTTTCGCATCTATCTTCAGCAATGCTGTAGCAGGTTATCAGACCAGCCTTCTAATGCCAAGGATTTAACTTAGAAATCCAAGACTGTCTCTTCACTTCAATCAGAAAAACCCTTACTTTTTGTCACGCATGATATTTCCAATCATTACCTAATGTACACTTCACAATCTCCTGTTCTGTCCAACTGACTGATCCCCATCATGCTCATGCTCCCGTTCAAACGATTGATCGTGATACCACATAAATCTTCTTGTTCCTTTCCTACACCCTAACGTGATAAGAACGTTGGTTCTACTACCTCCTGGGACGCTCCCGATCCTGACGCTGAGGATCAACGATCAAACTCTAAGAATAAGGATCGGTGCTCCTTCTGCCAGGATTGGCGATCCCACTCCCAGGATCAACACTACAAATCGGGCAACTGCTCTTACTCTCTGGCTGATAACAAACATCCGTTCCTGGTCCACTTTGTATGATTGCCCCTCAGCTCTCTCGCCCTCAGGAAGCTCTTTCTACAGACAATCGTTTTTCCTCTGTTGATCTGTTGATTTTGTTGGTTACAACAATGGGAACTGACTGGTAGTCGATACCTATGTGGATCGTAGACAGGGATGCTTACCAGGTTTTTCGAGACACTTACTACCAGCGACCCGGATACCCATATCCACTAAGTTTTCCCGACTACTGCTCTACTACTGGCTACGTTCATCCTCCACTCCATCCTCCTCCTAGGAAGCATCCCTTATATGATGACAACCCTCGACCTTCTTCTAAATCTAAGGATCGTAGTCCATCAACTACGGAACCTAAGGAAGAGAATATATGGATGTCGACTTCTTTATTATGAGGTCCACAACATTTCGAAGTATATGCTTACTCTTTCAGGTGAATGAATGCCCATGAGGCAGAGAGCATATATATGTACATGTAAGCACAACAAAATTAAAAAGATAACAAAAGGTGGAAAATAACAAAGGGTAGAAACTAACAAGGGAAGCAGTAGTATAGGTAATGATGGTTCTGCCGCAACCCCACTGGAGCAAGATTTATATACCAATACCACCACTACAGATGGAATTTTTTATGTGTAAATGACTATGCGATTCAACGATAGTCATGAGATTAAGTTAAATTGACTCTAGTTCACCACCACCTGGAGTCTATGATATAAATTTCTCTATTATTTTACAAGTAGGCCAGATTATATACTCTTCTTGGTAATTGATGATCGTATTTGTTTGGTTTACTGATATAATATATACCTTGTGGTAATTCTCTCAATTTGATAATTTTGTCTATGAACATAAATGTTTTGTGTTCTTCATTTGTTGGTTTGACATTACTGATATAATAATTTTGTCCATGAACATAAATGTTGTAATTCTCCATTTTTATATATTTATGTAAGCATTTGTCTAAATGTGATCTAATGATAGTAAGCAATCTATTTTTAATCTCCAACCATTTGTTTGGTTTTGGCACGGAATAATTGACGAGCTTCTTGCCTCCCCTGTTCTATGAACTTTTTTTTCTCGTCTTCGCTAATACCAATGGTCTTACGAGAATTTGATCGAATTTCATGCCTCATTACGTTGTATTTGATGAGTTCCGACAGCACTAAACGAAACTCATCCTCGGATATCTTACAATCAGCCATTGCTGTCGAAATATGATCCTCAATGCTGTTCAACTTTGCTTCGGCGAGTATCCGAATCTTATCATGTTTTAATGCTTTCTTTTGCAACCTACGAGAAATGAATTTTATCGCTATTCCTGCCAGTCCTGAGACTCCAGCTGCTACTTCCATACCGAGCACGATAGGCGCGGCGATTATAGTTGATAATAAACTGACACCTGCTACACCGAGTCCCATGCCAGCTATTACAAGTGCGGTGCCAACTCCGTCCAGAGCATTCACGGCTCTGCGATCCTTTTTATACAATCCAAGTCTCAACTCCCTAGCGTTCACTTGTCACGCCGAAGACCCGGGTTCGAATCCCGACATGGGTACAATGTGTGAAGCCCATTTCTGGTGTCCCCCGCCGTGATATTGCTGGAATATTGCTAAAAGCGGCGTGAAACCATACTCACTCACTCACTCACTCACTCTCAACTCCCTATCCTTCTCTATTCGATGTTTTATGTCGCTTATTTGATGTAATCGAAATCCATCAACAGTATCCATCTTTTCAAATGCTTCATCGAGCGCCGGATATAAACTCATAGTGTATATTACGGTCATATAATAGTCTTTAATTGATATTGCTAAAATGTTTTGAGAGTATACATCAACCTTATCAAATGTATATTATACGGCAAGAATATCTTAGAAAGAGAAATGCTGTCACTTTTAATAATTTGAACCCCCTCGAGGGTTGCAACGGGTGATGCTCCCATATGAATAATACTGTGTTTCTTGAGCCATTTATTTGATAGACCTGGTAATATTTCGAAGGCATCTTCCTGTGCATCTCCGAACAAGACTTCAATAATAAGCGTAGAAATATTAGGTATTGCACTCAAGTTAACTTTAATATCATTGAATTCAGTAACCAAATTTAAACATTTTTTACGGCCGGACGACTTAATAACATATGACCTGGGTCTTCTGGCAGGGGAGAGACTAACACACTTTTTTCGTTTTGATTGGGTATAAGCCGCGAGTACGATGCCACTATTTATTATCTTAGTTAAATTATGTGCCTTACCCATCATCACATACGGTGGGGTAATGAGGATATTCAATAGCCACTTGATTTTTGGGTCGACCATAGTCCATTTTTTATCGTCTTTGCGAGTAATATTGTACGAAGTGTTTTTAATGAGTCTACTAACGTCGACATCGCTTAAATCTT